AAAAATCTAATTTTTCTGAATATTTATAAAAATTTTGTAAACTCAACCCTAACCTCTTAATACTAAATCCTAAACAATAATCACTAAATCATAAATCCAAATTAGTATATTTTCGATTGAATATATTTTTGAAAAGTAATATGTAACATGGTATATAGACAATTTCTCAATATTCGCACGTGTTCAAACCTTTTCTGACATAATAAAATATATACATATATTATGAGCAATTTTCTATATTTTATGTTAAGAGATATTGACATTGTGAGTCACTTTTCATCTTAATAATAACACAATAAGTCACTTCTTTCTACACACACGCTTTTTCTTAACTTCCTTCATGAAATTCGTATGCGAACAATCTCACATATTACATTATAAATTTTGGTTGACTTTTTTTGGTATATGCATCATATATCGACTTTATAAACTCATATTACTCTAACCATGATATGATGTTATATTTCATATATTAATATTTATTTATAGTTGTACTACACCTTATATTTCAAAGACTATACTTTATAAACTCATATTACTCTAACCATGATATGATGCTATATTTCATATACTATGATTTTCATATAGTTGTACTACGGCTTATATTTCAAAGACTATACTTTATAAACTCATATTACACTTTATATTACATATATTAAGATTTTGTTATAGTTGTAGACATTTGTTAATGTATTATATAATATATTGTCTATATCGACATTTTCATGAGTTCTCTTTTTATATCAAACATTTTTTAATGTCTCACTACTTCTGTCATTTATTTCACACCTCAAAACCATTTAAAGATATTTGAAAATGGAGAATCCATCCAAATGTCCTTCATTTCATGTTTTTCTCCATTTTAAGATATTTGAGAATGGAGAATCCTTCAAAATGTCATTCATTTCATGTTTTTTCTTCGTATATGAAATATGTTTTCATGTCTAACTAAATTTACCCGTATTTATAAACTATAGTTAGACGACATATAATGATATCAAATATGTTGATATATCATTATTCTCATGGTGACATTTAATGGACGAGATACGTTTTGTTAAGAAAATATGTAAATACTATTTTCTATAATTATCTTTCTACTAAAATAAATAAATTGTTTCATCTACAAGTTTATAGATTAACCACAATCAATATCGTGGTCAGTTGTTCTTTGATTGGATTCCATAAATTTCGATAACTTACTAGAGTTGGATTACCATTAACTGTTAAACTTTAAACTTCCTAACTAATTCAAAATATCTTCAAAAAATATTCCTTATTCCTCGAAAGAGATATTTTAAAAAATCCTCTAAATATTTTGTCCTACATTTGCGTAAGCTAAATGTATATCGTCTCTACCTATTATAAATATAGCCTCTCTTAACCACTATATTCATCATTCCTTGAAAAACCTAAAACAAAAATGACGAATAATTTGCAGTTATCTTTCTTGAACGATATAAAACTGAGGAAGACAACATGTCGCATCCAAGTCCAAATCCTTCATACGTGGAGACATTTCATGAAAGACATAGGGGAGACCATGGAACTAATCATTTGTGATGCAAATGTAAGTTTATCGTTTTGTATAGATTTGTGATTTAGATATCTTCATTTTGTAAAAATTTAACCTAAATGATAATGTTTTCTTTTTTTATATATATAGGGAACTAAGATCCATGCCTCGTGTAACAAGACATACATTCATGAATTGGAAAAACATATTCGTGTTGGGTATGGAGGAACATTGATCGTTTCAGTGTGTCTGTCGTTGACATCGATAGAATACTACCTCCAATTCCATGTATGTTCGATAGAGCGAAAGATTTCTCCCGGAGTACGCCGATTACCGTATCGCAGGTCAAAATCTGATATGTGTTTCAGTGAGTCGGCCATGGACCCATCCAAGCGCGGGTCAAAATGTAATATGTCTTTTAATTCTTCATACTCTCACAATACTTAACTTTTTGATTCTCTGTTCAACCACAAACTGACTCGGTTATGCAAAACTTAATGAAAAGATCCTACTAAAACGTTAAATATACATCAAATTTCACATATAAAACTATCATATAATAAAAATAGAATACATTTTTTTACAACCAAAATAAAACCCGCGCTTCTCAAGCGCGGTTCAAAATCTAGTTCCAAGTTAAAACAAAACTATACAGAAATCAGTAGGGTCCACCATCACCTCTCTCTTATCTTCTTCATTCTGAACTCTCTTTTTAATTTTTTTTTTATTGATTAGTTTCTACAGATTTTTTTATTCAAGAAATCACTTTGAGGTTTTCATCGGTTCTCTTTTTCAATTCTTTTTCAATAGATCGATGTGAGGTCTCGTCGTTGAAAGACATCATCAAGAATATGGTATTCAGTTGTGGCGATTGGAACAAAACGTTCAACAAATCAGAAACAAGAAAAGAAACTTTTGTTCGAAATTTTAAATATAAAACCATGAGTTAGAATTGAAATCTATCAAATCTGGACAAAATACATCAAAAATAAGTGGAGAATGTAAAGAATCGTGAAAAATGGGCGAGAGAGGCGGTGATTAGGGTTTCTGATCGACAATGACCAAGGAAGAAGACAAGATTATTTTTGTAATTTTGCATCGTTAATGAAATATGTACAACAAAATCGAACACATCCATGTGTACACTCAATCTCGTGTACAACTATACATATGCCACTATTTCTTTATAGTACACAAAGAAATAGTACACTATTTCCTTATAGTACACTATTTCTTTATGTTTCTTGTACAAGTGATATTCTGGACTATGTGTATATGTAATGATCTTTTATGCTTTTTGTACAAGCAATATTGTGGAAAATGCGTATATGTGAATATTTCTAGAAGATGTACATATGTTAATTTATCATGTCATAATTTATCATATAAAGATGGATGCGTATCTCTATTTCTAAAAGTTATCTTCTTAAATGTACTTTTATGGAAAAATGAGATATACTAACTTGTCACTAAATGACATATACATGTCAAAACTTTCATCTAATATTGTGTACACATCTCATATGTACACATTCCTAATTGTACATATAACATGTATACACGTGTTAGTTTACACCTTAACAAAGTTTTCCAAAACACCAAAATCTTCAATTTGAATGTATTAATGTACCAAGGACAAAAAAATTAAAAAAAATGTATTAGTGTACACATGTGATGTTTGGTCCACCATAACTCTTCTCGACTCTCACGTGTTAGTGTACACATTTGTATGATAACAATATGTACATGTATTCGATGATAGAACGATCATGTGCTTATATACGATGAGATTGATGTACATATGGACATCAAAAAAATGTACACTGATATGTTATGATTTTAATGGTTTTTAGGATCTCATATAGTTCATATTGATCATTTAGATTGCATACTAGGTGTATATATTGTATTTGAATGCATATTGCATACAACAGGGTCTAAAGTGCACTTTCAAAAATTCAGAGGTTGATTCACGAGGGTGTATTAGCAAATTACAAAATGTTGGGTCCAAATTGTAAAGGAACAGAAGTTCAGGGACTGGATATGCAAATATGAGGAAATCCACCATTGAAGCTCACGAGCTTTCTCTTTGCGGATCCGGAGCTCATGACGGCAAGCTTGATTCTGATGATAAGCTTAGCCACGCGGTGGAGCTGAACATGACGACGACGGCGGATCTGAGCATGTTCGACGGAAGAAAGACTTAGGCGTGAGCTTGATTCTGGAGACGAAAAACTGGCCGTAAAATCTTGGTACGGTGGTCGCGGTTTGGAGTAGAATGGTGAACAATATATGCAAAGAACGAGTTGCAATTTTTTTCGAAAAAACGTTTCTCTACTAATGAATAATGAAGAAGAAGATGAAAATATATATTTCAAATTAAAAGAAAAAAACAAAAAAAAAACAAAAAAATTCCTAACCAAAAGAAAAAGAAACCAAACAAGAAATCTTTAGTTTTGATTTGGTTAAAGAAAACTGTCTCAGTAGTAATAAGTGACTTAAACTATAACAGCAACTCGATAAGTGACCTTGAATGTTAATCTCTCTTATGTTATTCCCCATTCGTGACAGAAAACAAAAGAACAAGTGAGCCGGGTCTGTGAACTTGATTAGTCAATTCATTTATGTCCTTTAGCTGTTCCGTGACGTTTTCTACCGTTGTTGATATCAAATTTAGTAGCTTATATGAAAGGCCTATAGAGTTTGCAATTGTTCTTAAGCTCTAAAACGTTTTCTCTTCCTCTCAATTCTTATGCTCTCAATGTTCATTCGAGTTTTCACCAGAATTCATATCAATATATCATAGTTAATTCAAAACTTATTATTATGAACAAAACGCAAATCAAACACAAAGAACATAGGAAGAGAGAACGCAAATGAGGTAAATATCCATTTTAAAACTTAATTATATATTAATTGATTGATTATATAAACTAATAACCTAAACATTCTTTTACCTTCGTATTTATATAACATCAAATCCGATAATATTTTTCCCTTAAAAATTTTCTTTATCGAAATGGCAGTTTTCATAAACGTAAAAAATACTACCGTAGTGATGCATCGAGATTTGAGTCACTCCAGAGTCAACACTTATTTATCTCGTTAGTACTACATTAGACCATCCACAACAAGTGGTCTTTAGGGGGAGTTCTTAATGAAATATTAATTTTATAATTAGAGGGTCCCATGAACAGTTACAGATTATATTCTTAAAAACCTTACTTAAGGATTGATCCTTACACTATTTATGGGCTCCACTGCTCACGTGGAAGTCGGCGAATGATCAGTTTTTTTAAAAAGAAAAAATCTAAAATATATTTATATAATCTGAAATGCCATTTTTTTTTTTTAAAGAATCCCCTAAGGATTCATTGTTGTGGATGCCCTTATACGCTATAGTTCTGGTAAATCGACTTCATCCCGAGCCTATTATTTACAATGACGTAAAACTTTTGAGTAGGCAATTAATAAAGCAGAGACTGAGAAAACACGAGACCATTTTATTCAAATTTAAAACCAAACGTCAATATCAAACCATGCAGACAAAGCATAAAAACATGAACTGGTAAGAAATTGGGTTCACCATTTATATGGTCTTACAAAATGTGAACACATATCTAGAGCTCATCTTTGACGTCATCATCTTTATCTGGATTAGAAGACGAGATCTTGACCGGATAAGAGGCCTCCATCGCAATACCGCATTTTCCTTCGGGATCATCAGTCCCTCTCTCAAGCTTTATGTAGCCTCCCTCTCCCCATTCAGGTCCCCATGAGTTTCTTACAATCCAATACTTCCTCCCTTTTGAGTCTGATCCATAACCAACCGCTGCAACACCGTGGTTCAGCTCTGTTCCACAATGGCCAGTAAACACTCCCTACAACATAATACCAAAGATATGACCAATTAAATGTTATCGATATTGTTACAAAAAAAAAAAAAAAATGTAATGGATATGACATATATGTATTTTCTAGTCAAATTGTAAAAGCATAGTAGATATATTATGTTTAACACATGAAAAATATAGTATCAGAATACGTTTTCATATATTACCTTAGAATAAAACTGGAAATTTGAACTTCCAGCATCAATTGCAACAGATACAGGTTGGTTTGCAACAGCTTTAAGAAGAGCATCTTCATCGTTTTCGGGTACATCCTCGTAACCATCAATGGTCACAAGCTCACCATTATCCTTTGATGCGTCACATTTTCCATCAATACCTTCGTAGGGATAGTTATCCTCAGTGGTGATTCCACCGTTCTTCTTGATGAATTCAAATGCATTCTCCATGAGGCCTCCGTTACAACCTTGGTTCTGTTTTGTATCACAATCCACTAGTTCCTGTTCAGACAGTGAGACTAGCTTGTTCGTCTTGATCTGGTTGATTCCTTCAACGGCTGCAACCGTAGAAAATGCCCAGCAACTTCCTGGTAATTTTTAACCAATATCAAATCATTAGATCAACAGAGAAATTACATTAAAATTAAAATAAGTTTAAATATTTTGTTATGCAAACACGTTATATGTATTCTTCAAAGCTTATATTAACACATTATCAGTTATATTGGGGATAATATTTTCTATGGATTTTGAGCCTTTCTTATAATCATTTTTAGCAATGACCTTGTGGTATGTTATTAGTGAGTAAATAGTTATGATAGTCGAAAGGTTATATGTTCACAATGTCAGTTTTACATGTTCTCAAAATGGATCTATCTATTAAAATTCTAATCTCTATATTTCTGTAAAATTCGAACACAATGTCAGTTTTACATGTTCTCAAAATGGATCTATCTATTAAAATTCTAATCTCTATATTTCTGAACCAAAGATATAAAAAATTATAAGAAAAAAGGTTAGGGCTTATTTTTTATTATCATGTGCAATACATATCACTTGCATTTCTCACTAATGGGCATTGCTTTTAGACTTACCACACTCTCCTTGATTCTTGACTTCAGTGACAGCACCTTTCTTTCTCCAGTCAACGGAGGACGGAAGTCGGGTTGAATTTTCATACATGAACCCTTTCGAGCCACGTTTCAGTCCTTGAAACATTCTGTGATGTTTAATGTTTGATCCCGTGTAGGCATTCTTGAACTCATTAACCGTTAAGTCTGCAAACTTGTTGAGCTTAAGCTTGAAGGAGTTGTTTTTCTTGTTGGTGTTGTGGACATGCATCACATTGTGTCTGAAAACGTTGAATCTCTTTTCTCTTTCATGAAGGCTCCTAGGAACAGAGTGGTGGCTCCTCCATCTATCGTAGAGCTTTGATAAGCTCTCTTCGCTCTCTAGTTCGTTGTCGTGGTAATCGAACCCGTGAACGGATTGGATGATGAGAAAAGAGGAGAGAAAGATCAAGAGAAGTTTCTTCATATTTTGTCTAATGGTTTTTTGTTTGTTTGTTTGAATTTGAGAGTTTGCTACTTGAGTTATATATAGAGGCTAAGAGAAATAGTTTATTGAGAAATATTAAATGACTTTGATAAGAAAAAAAGAGATATATTAATGACGAAAATACCATCGACGATTGTAAGCTGTATTAAGTAATCGCCTTAGTCAGACTTGTGGAACACTTCTATTAGACTTCTATGAGACTTGTATTGTACACGCATCGTAGACGAGAAAGGAACCCATCATAGGTGTACTTTCTTTTTTAGATAGCTTAAACAGGAATTTGTAATTCTCTTTTTATATATCTTTCAAATAAGTTTTAAATTCTGGGGTTTTTCTTTCATTTTTTGATTTGCCTGTTTTAGCTGACAAGTATAGACAAAACTGATCAATGAGTCCTTAAAAAATGTTCAACATGATAATAATGATACTTATTTGATACTGTATTTTTCATGGCTGATATTAGGCATGGGCATATTATCCATAATCCATAACCAAATCCGAACCCAAACCGAAAAACCCGAATCTGATCGGTTATGGTTCCATCAAATTATTCGATCGGTTTTGATATGCTGATACTTTGGTTATCGAGTATGGATTCGGTTTAATCCGAAATAACTGAAGAGTATGTATTATGTAGATAAGTATATATATGTACTACACGAAGTTGGCCATTTCCAAAACACGCTTTGTTATTTCTAAAGTTTGAGAGACATGTTTTTTAGTTCTTATCAATTCATCCTACTTAATAAAGTTTGTGTTGCTACGATTATATATTATGTGAGTTTTCATATTTCACTTATCATTGTGATCAGTTTGTAAACATTTGTCTAATGTTATCATTTAATAACATAAAAGACATGACAATTTCGGTAATTTCTACATATTTATAAATCTTTAGATCTTGTTCTACTTTGTTCACATCATAAAAACGAGTATCAATAAATCAAGTCTCAACAATTGTGATTCATAAATTTAAGTTAAGTGTCTTATATTTATTTGTTTTCTTTGAAGTTTACTTTAGTTAATCCAAAACCGATACACTAAAACCCGAACCCAAGTGATATGCGGTAACTTCAGTATAATCCGAATCCAAACCAAAACCGATGTGTTATATCCTATCCCGATCCGAATTTAAAAATTTCTTAAAATGAGACCTATAAAATGTTACAAAAGATAACCGATATCCGATATACTCGATCTGAACCCAAACAGGGATCCGAACGCTCATGCCTAACTAATATCTTTTGAGCTTTAATTTAATTGGATCACTTAATGCAGATTTATTGATTAGTGAAAGGTAGTTCTAATTAATAGGTAGGCTGGAAAACACAAATTTACGCAACATGTCGCGTAGGCAAATAATGAAAGCTAGGATATGGTATCTATATTATTTTGAGATCCTATTTTAAAAATTTGAGATTTTGTCCTTGGGTTTTCATCATATTTATAAGATAATACCAATTCTTTATTTTTAGAATTTTAATTAATTAAACAACTAAAAATTTCCTATATTTATGGTAACTGATATTTTTTTCTATTTTTGTGATTAATAATAATTTTTTCGTTTTATGAAAATTATACTTTCTATTTAATTTTAATATCATATTTTTGTGCATAATATTATTTAGCGATCAAAAATTAAAAATTATTATTTACTATGTCATTTTATCCATAATTTTGATATGTCAATTCAATTGTTTCATAAATAATTTTTAGATATACAATAAATAAAAATGTAAACTTATCGTAGGTAATTAATAACGAAAATAAACTAATATTGTATATGAATATTTTTTTCTATTACCATTTTTTCATTTTTTCAAATGACAAGAAAAAATTTATCAAAGAAATTTAAAAAATCAATTTTCTTTAGTATTAAAAGTATGAGTTATTTAACTAATTAAAAAATATTATCAGTTTTATGGGGTTTTAAGTAGATCAACGAATATAAGATTACAGATTAATAACGAGTTTTAGGATATTTAGTGGATTTGATCAAATTTTAATTAATAAAATTTTCCTTAATGGGATGCGCCGGTTCAATGGGTCTGGGTCGCATATGAAAACAATATGTGAAAATCAACATTATAATAGAACATTTTTAAATATTAATAGAACAATTTTTAAATTTTTTGTGTTTAAATAATTAATTTAAATAAGTTTTATCAAAATGGTACGAATATATCCGCGCTTTTGAAGCGCGAGTCAAAATCTAGTTTTATTCATTAAATTTGATTTGATTCGTTATTCGTTGCGATCCGAAATGAAAAATCCGGATATCTATAAATCACAAATACTAAAAAAAATTAGAGCCGGATATCTGATCCGCATCGATTTTTATACAAATATATGTATATATAATTAAATATAAAGTTTAAAAGTAGACTTTTGTTATTGTAATACATCATTTTATTAATTTTATTTATAAAATTACTTATAAAGGTATTAAGTTAAGAAAAGAATATCAAAACTTTATAAAATTACAATTTTTTAAAAAATTGTGGCTTATTAAAAAAAATTGATTAATTTTAACAATTTAGGGAACAAATAATTTCATTAATTTTTATTTTATATTATGTAAAAGATAGTTCTGGAAAATAATTTTATATTTTTAAAAATTTATTTGTAGTAAACAAAGTTCATGAGATATATTTAAGTATATGTAAATATTCAAAAGTATCTAAAATATTTTAGTATATCCGGAAAGTTGGATATTTGTATTTTTCCGAAGCAAAACAAATTAGATATCTATAAGATACGAACAAATCAGATATTTGTAAGAGACGAAGCAAATCACAAATTCTAAAAATTATGGTACTATTCTTTTTGTTCCCATCCCTAATGAAATCAATAGTTATTAGATTGAGAGATACAATATATGGTCGTTGGAATTTGGAAAAATGTGGTAACAAGAGCTGTTCACACCATAACGTTGTTGACTTGTACAATCAAAAATCTATTTTTGTAAAGGATTTATAGTGGAAAACATAAATGTTTCGATTGTTTTACTGAGAATGGCATGCCCAATCTTCTATTTTATAGAAATTATTATTATTCATGAGCTTATTACGTGAAAGATAGAAGAAGCTTTTCATGTATTACATGAAATTTATTAGAAATTTACAACTTAAATATGATTACTAACTACGAAGTCTATATATCCATGTACCTTATCTATGCAAAAGCATCTAATAATTAATATACTATATTATAATCTATAAAATATATTTTTCTTCAGTGAATCGTGGGAACCTCATGTGTTCTTCCAGGGAGGACCTTGGGGCGATTTGTCTATTATTTACGTACCATTGTTTTTCGAATAAGTTTGGGTGATCTGGATTAGTACTCAGCTAACTTATATTTTAATAACTTTGGGTGCTAAGATTGAAGATTCAGAATTATAAAATGTCGCATTGTCGCAACCTCAGCTGATTTAAGTCGCCTGATTAATTCCAGAATAAGCAGTTCGACCCCTTCTACTAATGCATATATACCAAACGGATTCAGTATTCTGAAGCCTAAATGCCAAACGAGTAATATTTGACGCAGCCTACCAAAAATTAGTATCATAAAATTTGGTATTAGATATATGGTATTATGATAAGAAAAAAAGTACATACATACATACTCAGAGCCACACTGTATTTCGATCAGTTTTTTTTTTTTTCAACGGATTCATTGAAAGAGTATTAACATAAACATTATGTTTGCTATCACCTAATCAACATTAACAAAAAACCTATTTAGAAAAACATTTACCAAATAATAATGCTCTCCAAATGATCTTTATTTAATGTTCTCATATATAATTTGAGAGAACATTTGTAGTTAGAATATATAAAACTTAAAAATGATTTTTAGAAATAAAAATAAATTTATACTTTTAAATTTATTCTATTTAATAACATACAATATTTTTATAATCAAAAAATAAATTTATAGTTTTTAAAATAAAAAAAATTGCAAGAAAATATTTTTTTCACATTTAAAATATAATCTAATTTATAATCTAATTTATAATCTAATTTATATAATTACACATAACGTTCATTATTTTTAATAACAAACATAGCATAATATATATTTATATGTTATAGAGGTAAACATATCTATATTATTTAGATACTAATAATAAATTATATAACATATATTAATTGGTAGGATAATTTTATATAGTACCCATTTACTCCTCTAATAATAAATAAATAATAATAATTTATTTATTTAAGTTATATTAAAATTTATGTTTATATTCAAAAATAATTTAATATTTTAAAAATAAATTGTACATTCTTTTAATAACAATATTTCACATATAACTATAATATAATTTATGTAATGAATAATATTAATTAATTTTAATAACAAATATATTATTAATAGATATTATAAATATAGAAATATTATTTTAAAATACATATATACTAACTTCTAGGATAAATTTAAAATTTTATATTACTAGTCCGCAGTATACTAGTAATATAAAATTTTAATTGAAAACATACAGTTTATGCAGTATATTATTTCTTCAGCATACTGTTATTGATTTATTATTTGGTGTACCAATGGAAGATTAAATTGGTTGTCAAAGGTGTTTTAGATTAGATCAAATTTTGAGACAAATCAAAATGAACAATTTTAAACTAGTCGTGGGATACGAAGACTTTTAAAAGTGAAGTCGTCTGATTTAGTGGATATGATCGACACGAATAATTCTTATGGATCGCGGATTCTGGCTTAATACCCATTAATTATCGTGGTTGGATCATGGAGGCTTCCTAATGTAAGGAAACTTATTTAATTTTTGTTTGTTATTAATTATTTAATTTGATCTCGTCATCACACGCCAGTTGATGAAGAATATGTAAAAAAACTATAAAATATTCAAGTTCTGACCAAAACAAAGTAGAAGCAAAAGAATCAGATTAATTTTCTAAAAATGATTATACTTTTTTGTGGTAAAAATAATTATACCTTTT